TCCACGACTTTAATGAAACACCCACTCACAACATCTATCATCTGCACACCTTTAATCCTCACTGGGGGCGGAGCCTGTCCTCACTGGGGGCGGNAATTTGTCCAAATGACTCAAAACTCGTCTAAAATTACAAAGACAGCATCATAAATTATTTAAAACTTTTCCTAAATGAGAATTAAATAAAATAAAAAGTCTAAAAGTGTTCAAAATCGCTTAAAAATTGACCAAAAGTCTGATTCAGAATGACTCCCAGTGGTCCAAAATGGCTTTCATTTATCCAAAGTGATAAAAAAAAGTTGACTAAAAAAATCTGTTTGTCCAAAATGATTCAACTCTCGACTAATGAGGTAAAACTTTAAGAAATCAGAGTCCACAGCTGGAAAATGGTCCTGAATGATATAAAAAATGTCCAAAATGACCCCAAATGTCACTAAAATCATAAAAACTCTGTCCTACGTTATTTAAAACTCAACATGGCTTTTGATTTATTCAAAATGCCTCAGATTTGTGATAAAAAGTGATCAAGACGTGAGTTTAAAAGACGTGAGTTCGTCCAAAATGACTCAGAACTCGTCTGAAACCACAAAGACGTCGTCCTGAATGATTCAAACTTTTCCTAAACGAGACTGAAGTTAATTAAAAAGACTGAAAGCGTTAAAAATGGACCAAAGACGTGTTCAGACGGACTCCCACTGGTCCCACATGGCTTTGCTTTACGCCGGGTTGTGTGTGGAGGGTTCTGGTTCAGATCAGAGGTCAGGACTTCAGAGACCTGCTCAGAGGTTCATGTTTCCAGTGCAGGACCTTCTGGTGGTTTTTGGACCAACCTGAACCTTCTTCTGGTGTTTATTTGTTCATGAAATCCACTGAGTCTGGACCTAAAGCTGCTGATTTACCAGAACAAGCGTCTCCAGAACTTCAGCAGAACCAACCCGCCGTGACTCAGAACAACGTTCAGAACCAGAGTCAGAATCCTGAGCCAGAGCTCCTGCATTAGAGCTGCTGCTGCTGCTCCGCCCAACGAGCTTCCTGTTGGTTAACGAGCTTCCTGTTGGTTAACGAGCGTACGTTAATTAGTCAGAGGATTCGGCGCCGCGGGCGGTTCCAGGCCGAGTCACGTGTCGGCTGTAATTAGACGCTGCAGCTCAAATGAAAGCCGACGAGCTGCTTGGCTCGTTCATGGCTCATCAGCGGGACCCAGCGGGAGGCCGAGGAG